CCGCTCACTCTGCTCCCCCGGGTCGAGCCCCCCGGAGCTGCGCGCGGGCTTGCAGCGCCTTGCCCGCGCCGATTTCTCTGTGCCCGGCTTCGTGCTCTGTGCCGCCGGCTTTCCAGAGCCCACGAGCAGAGCGAGCGGGTCCGGGACGAGCTCCGGCTCCGGCAACCTCGCGCTTCCCCGACTAGGCTGCCTCCGCCCCCCCCCGGGGGTCGCTAGTCCACGATGCCGCGGGGCCCTGGCTCGCTGCTGCTGCTAGTCCTTGCCTCGCACTGCTGCCTGGGCTCGGCGCGTGGGCTCTTCCTCTTCGGCCAGCCCGACTTCTCCTACAAGCGCAGCAACTGCAAGCCCATCCCGGCCAACCTGCAGCTCTGCCACGGTATCGAGTACCAGAACATGCGGCTGCCCAACCTGCTGGGCCACGAGACCATGAAGGAGGTGCTGGAGCAGGCAGGCGCCTGGATTCCGCTGGTCATGAAGCAGTGCCACCCGGACACCAAGAAGTTCCTGTGCTCGCTCTTCGCCCCTGTCTGTCTCGACGATCTAGACGAGACTATCCAGCCGTGCCACTCGCTCTGCGTGCAGGTGAAGGATCGCTGCGCCCCGGTCATGTCCGCCTTCGGCTTCCCCTGGCCCGACATGCTGGAATGCGACCGTTTCCCGCAGGACAACGACCTCTGCATCCCCCTCGCTAGCAGCGACCACCTCCTGCCGGCAACAGAGGAAGGTAAGCCTTCCCTCTTCTGTTCACCCATTCCCAACTACCCTGAGGTGCTGGGATTGGGGGCGGGGGACCCCGTAGTCTCCACTCCACATCTTGGTTTGTCCCTGCCGGGGTTTCCAGCCTTAGGTATGGCACAAGCTCTCCCTGCCCAACTCTGTTGCCATACCGTGTATCAAACTTGAGATATCCACCCGTGTGCCCAGACCCCTCCCTGGTTATAACAGCTCGCCTTGGGGAGTTAAGAAAGCCAAACAAAAGTGCCAATTCTTGTTTGAAGATGCTTGCTCTGCAGCCACGCTTCTGAAAGCATTTAGCATGGCCGGGTCCTGGAGATGAGCAGCCAGGCCAAAGGCTTCTGCTTAGCCCCTCTCTGCACGTTCTTGTCCCACTGGACAAAAACACACACTACACACTGATCGATCTTTGAGCTACTTTTTGTCCTTTGCCAATTTAGGTTTTGGAGCTAAAACGAAGACTGCCTGGGAGTAAGTGGAACATTGCCTATCGGTTTTAACTGCCCAGGTGTTTGAGGAAGAGAGGATACAGGGAATCTCCAGGAACCATCTTTTTGTCACTATCAGCTTTTCTCTTAGGAGTGGTTTTAATTAGCTGGAGAAAATCATGCAAAAGAGTCCCCTCAAGTTTTTAGAAAACAGAGAGAAGTTCATAGGCAAAAACAAAAACCATCAAAGCAATGAAAACCTCATGGGCTCTTGATATTTTTCCTGAAAGGAAAAAGTACACAAAGTGTCTGAGCTGATTTAGGCCCCCTAAAATAGAAAGGGGGCTTCCTAATCCGGCTCAGGGCCTCGGCAGCATCTCCCTTTCAATCTCTAATTGTTTTCCTGCAGACATCATTAGTTAAAGAAAATACAAAGTTGTTTAGCAATCTTTCCTGGCAGGCACCATGAGTCTGCAATCATCTTATTGGTTAGGTTTCTAATTTATTGCAAATGTTTGGCATTTTTCAAACATTTGTCCAACATATACCATAGAGTAACCAGTACAGGTTGGTAGCATTTCCTATACATTCTGAGCCTTCTCATTGGAAGTGTTTCTCCCAGGTTGGGTAGAGCGGAGGCAGTTTTGTGTGGGTTGCTTTTTTTTTTTTTTTCTTCCTACTATCAACCCAAACATACACTGTTTTCTCAAATTTCGCTTTCCTTCTTCAAAATAAGCCCATATGCCTGCAAAGTTTGCTCTTTGCTATTTTTAAAAATCGGATAACCTTTCTATTATGAGTCACAAAGGAGTTTTTTGTGTGTGAAAATTCAATTTCTTACAAGTGAAAAACCTATGTAATTGCACTTATATCTTAAAGATGGCATTAGGCATATTTACAAATTAGAGGGAAAAAATGTTCTTTTCTTCATGAACATATGTTCTTTTACACCAGTGTTAGACTGATAGCTGTGTGGGCACACAAAATCCCTGGGTCTGCTCAGACAAAGCCCACAGAAAGTTTTCCTTCATCTGGATCAGGTTTGTTTGCTTGCATAGGATAGGCAACAAACACCTGTACCAAGGTGCTGTAGGGGAATAACGAAGTAAACTGTAAGTCAAACACATTCTTGGCAGGAAGTGGAAGGTGAAGGAGAGCCAGTTAGAGCTGGCGTTGGAATTACTGAGATGTGCTCCCAAGACGCAAACATACCCTGCAGGTTCCCAACCACAACACTAGTCCTTCCTAGCCCAGATGAGAAAATATATGCAAAGATCTCCCCCCCCACCCCCGACCTATTGCTTTGCCCAGCAGAAGGATTTTTCTGCATGTCCTGCAGATAAGAACCATCTCTCCACTGCAGTTATGGTCATGCACAAGTCCCTCCTGGGTTTGGAACTTTTGGCACTTTCTCCAAAGAGTGAGGATGATGAACTGGAAAGCTGCAGCTTCTCTGGGTCATCTTGCAATGCACACCTACCCACTCACTGCCCATGACTTCCTTTTTTGTTTGGGGGTCAGTGCTAATAAAGCAGGACATACAGCCATTCTCATTTCACCCAACCAGAAATAGGAAGTGCAGCACTTAGGAATGAGGGGTCCCATTTTTACAGAGGCCACATTGTCCATACAGGACAATGGCTGCTCTGGTCTAGCTACATCCTTCTGAGTTGTTTACAAACGCCACCTGCTGTTCCTGTTGAAGCAAACTCACTAAAGACCTTTCATTTCCAGCCCCAAAGGTGTGTGAAGCCTGCAAAACTAAAAACGATGACGACAACGACATAATGGAAACTCTTTGTAAAAATGATTTTGGTAAGTAATTGCCACCACCAACAGATTTCACATCTGTCCAAGTGTAAGAAATCTCCTGATGAGGCTAGGTGAGACATGATCATATCTCCTGTTCCCTAAAGCTGCCTAACTGAGTGGTTCTTGGTTCTCATCATCTGCCTCATACTGAGTTACACTGGATGACGTTCACTGTTTCCTTAAACATAAGTGGAAATTTCTCAGATTACCAGTACACAATGGCTAACTTCTAATCTCTCTTTGGCTTTTGTGTGTGTGTGTGTGTGTGTGTGTGTGTGTGTGTGTGTGTGTGTGTGTGTGTGTGTGTGTATGCTTGCGTGCACACCAACACACAGAATAATGTGCCATGTATCTTTTTCAACTGCTTGAGATGTGCTCCAAGAACAGTAACACACATAATGACCTCAGCAAAATAGATTCAAGGCCTTAAACTGGCCCAGAATAAATACTTGAACTAGCATCAAATAAAAATATTTTCACTCTATTGGTAGCACAGAGTAACACATTTGTCATGTTTTATAAATTGTCAGAAAAGAAGAAAGTTTTCCAAGTTAGGTGAACATGATGCTGTGGTTGGTGCTTGGGACATACGAAGTATTACAACATTAGTGATGTTAGCCAAGGAATACAAACAGTAAGTCACTCCCCATAGGGGATCATAGGAGGAAAGATAGAGAATTTATCTGAAAAGACCACCACCTGCACCTACCAGTCATCCTCACGCCCTCGGGTGAATCGTGAAGACTAGCTAGACATGAGGAGCAAAGTCAAAATCAGAATCAAGAGTGGCCAGCAACTTTACCCAGATTGCTGCCTCACCCAGAATGCATTGTTGTTTTAATCCTACTCCAACAATAGGCACCTTTGCTTGTATTAGAGGGGTTGGTATCCCTTGGGGGTATTATTCGGTCAAAAGTTGGAAGGTATTGGTGGGTATAGAAGGCCACTGGTCTACCAAACAACATGGAGTCTAACAAATCCATGTTAACATTTCTGCACACTAAACAAACCCAGGCTGCCATTGTTGACAGTTACCTTGCCACCTTGAAGTCTCAGGCTGGGTCACTTCTCTAACACTGTGAACCGTCCTGGTCACCGTTCTTCATAAGCTTCAGATCTTTTCAGGAAGTGTCCTGAGTTGAACGTTGGCTGAGCCCTGAACTGTACCCCTGACACAAGGAAAGACTTGACACTGTTGAGAAAAGAGACAGAATGAGAGCTCCAAGTCCTAACTGACAACTTTTCCTGGTAAGAGGAGCCACACATGGGGCCCATAAAGCTTCATTTGTCTGTCTCCAAACACACAGACCTCAAACTATCTCAGAGCCAAGCATGTCAACAGTGGGCAATTTTCAGAGAGTCTTACCAAGCCATCATCCTTTATTGCCACAATTCTATGTAACTTATGCTCTTTGTACTACTACACATAAGATTTCTCTTCTGACTTCCATGGGACTCCAAAGCAGATACATTTAGGAGACCACACACACACACACGCGCTTGCACGCACGCGCGCGCACACACACACCATGTGTTTGCTTTGTGGGTTACCTCACAGAAGACAAACTTACTAAAAATGCCATGTGAAGGTCTGAGCCAATGAAGCAGTGTGAACATGCTGTACAGTGTAGCAACCAGGAGCTCTGCTTCCATCCCCAAGTAGGGACGATGAAGGAGTATTCCATTTTACCTCTCTTCTTTGGGCAGTAGGAGATGGAACAGACTGAGCAATGAGGCTTATTTAACTTGCATCATCAACAGACACAGCACTCCCCACCCCAACCACATACTTGAAACAGAAATGAAAAACCCCTCCTTACTTCTACAGTGCAGATTACACCATGTGCTACTGAGCCTGGGACTGCCACCTCCTACTGCACCCCACCATATATGGCATGTCACTGGGTGGGGGACTATCACCTGTGCTTTCTACCACCTCTGTATCCCCAATCACACCTTCCAGAACAAGAATATTATTTTGGGTCTTTAGTTCCCTATGTTTTGTTTCAGTTTCAAGTCTAAGGAAAAATCCCACTTTCCCCATGATATATATTTTAGAGCTGAAGAAAGACAATTAACACACCTAGGGTAATTGACATACCTCAAGAGTGTTCCATTGACCAGGTGAAGCCTTGCACTGGCCTCACCTATGTTCGAGACTACACCCTTTGCTAATGTATAGTCACTTCAATTCACCCCCTATAGTGGCCTCTCATTCCCTATTAGAGTCACAAGAACATGTGACATTTCCATATGGCTTAACCCTTAAACTCTGAGAAGTCAGTACTGCAGTTCAGATGAGTACCAAATCAGATAAAGCTGTCATTCACCAAGTCACAGCACCCTTGCTTTGCTGGGTTAAGTACCCATCATTTCCTTTTTGGCTGAAAAGCCAGCTCAGTTGAGTTCCCTGTCTGAATTTTTTTTTAAGAGAAAGAAAACCTCAAAGACATACACACACAAAATTCTCCACTATTACTAATTTAAACAATGCATTAAACCCCATCAAAGTTGGGAAGTCATACACGCGTGTCATCTATTACAGCTGTCGGTGGCACCAAGAGTCTTAGGACACACTGGAGTTGAGCAACTTAATGCTTCACAAGGACAGGAATTTAACATTGCCTCGAAAGAACACAGTGGTAGTGTAGAAAGAGGTTTGGGGACTAAGCTTAGGACACAAGCTACCTGGGTGGCCTGGTACAAGTCATGGACACTTCTCTCAAATTTGCATCTTCATATACTAATGAGCTTTTAATGGGATGACCCTGGCTAACCTGAAAATTCTATCCTTTTCCTGCATGTGTGGAGTCCTGAAATTTAATCCCAGAGTGTGTATTCCCAAAGCATAGTGTTCGTGGCTATAAAACGTGTCTTTTATAGTAAACAACTTACTTTTTGGTCTTAACGTTCTAATGACCCTACATACACATTTTGGAAACAGCACATACATGATGTGTAAGTGCCTTGGCCTTGGCCAGGCAAATGAGAACACATAAGGATGAAGTCTGCAGAAAAACACTTTTATGGCTAAACATGGTGTGCTCTTAAAAAGGAGACTTGCATATTTTTTTCTACTTGTTACTTTACCAAATCAAAAGCAGCTGCAAGATCCATTCTCCTCCCCCTGTAATCTGTCCCTCAGAAAACAGGGACTGTGATACCATTTCCTCACAGGTTTGTCCAGAAAACTCTGTGACACAATAAACCCAGTTTAACGTTTGCAGCCTGGGAGGCTCATGTTTCACCTCAGAGTTAAGCATTTCTCCTAGGTCTGAAGTCTCCTCCAGTAAGAGAATCATTGGCTGAGCACAGCAAGAACCACATGCCAAGGGGCTTACCAACACAAGGGCAAGGTATAGGAAGAAGAGTTACCTGAGTCCTGGAAAAAGGCTCTGAAAGGATGGCTGATGTAAAACGAAATGCCCAGCCAGTGCTTTGGAACTTTAAAAACGGATATACCTACTGCCCCCAAGACTAAAGCCCAACAGTCTTTCTGGTTATAGGAGGCTCCTCTCTCTCCCACAGACCAAGCACAGAATAGGCAGCAAAGCTAACAATCTACGCAATTCTCCCTCATCGTATAACTCATGTTTCGTGTTGTTCCTGCCCCTCTTGTCTTCACAGCACTGAAAATCAAAGTGAAGGAAATAACCTACATCAACAGAGACACCAAAATCATCCTGGAGACCAAGAGCAAGACCATTTACAAGCTGAACGGTGTGTCTGAAAGGGACCTGAAGAAATCGGTGCTGTGGCTCAAAGACAGCCTGCAGTGCACCTGTGAGGAGATGAACGACATTAACGCACCCTATCTGGTCATGGGACAGAAACAGGGTGGGGAGCTGGTGATCACCTCGGTGAAGCGGTGGCAGAAGGGCCAGAGAGAGTTCAAGCGCATTTCTCGCAGCATCCGCAAGCTGCAATGCTAGTTTGCTAGTGGGGTGGCTTCTGACTGGTCAGACCCTGGGCTCTGTGGACCACTTCCACTCTGCAAACTCACTTCCGGTTTCCCAAGCACAGTCCCAAAAGCTCCAGCCCCAGCTTGGAGCAGCTTGCCCTGACTCTTGCATGTGTGTAGCCCTAACATTTCCTGAGTTATGAGGCCCTAGGAGGCCTCGGGAATGGATAGCTGTTTTCACATAAAGCGAAAGCCCGTCCAGATCTTGTAGAAATATTCAAGCTAATAAAATCGTGACTATTTTTATGAAGTTTTAAAACAGCTCATTTTAAGGTTAGTTTTGAATAAGTAGTACTGTGACCTGAGGGACATTTTTCCCTCTTTGGTCAGTCCGTTGGTTTGTACTGTGCACTAAGGTTGCCATGTCGGGCAAATTGTTTCCTTTTTCTCTGTGGTCTACACTTGTGGGTCCCAGACTACACTTGTGGGTTGAGATAAAGCTGGCTGTTATCTCAACATCTTCCTCAGCTCCAGCCTCGGTGTCTAGGTCTTAAAACATTTCATTGCTCATTTTACACCCTCATTAACGTTGACTGTTGCATGCATCCCAGCCCAACGACAGACTTCAATTTCTAAGAGTACAATTAACCACTCCTCATTGCATGATGCCTTCAAATAAAGGGCAGAGTAAATGCAGTTTATACATTGACTTGAGTATTTTAAACGTTGTTTAAAACAGTTTTTACTCTTATTTTTTTTCCACTTTTGCAAATTAAATCATTGTAGCTTACCTGTAATATACATTAGTAGTTTACCCGGAAAAGTTGTAAAAATATTGCTTTAACCAACACTGTAAATATTTCAGATAAACATTATATTCTTTGTATATAAACTTTACATCCTGTGATACCTATTCTTTGTCTTCTGTCATGTCTCCTTTGACCAAGGAGCTGGGAGGGAGCTGTTATTTCTTTCTCAGGAGGCTCAGTCTTCCCTCCAGCAGGTTGAAGTTACCAGCTACTCTAGTGCTTTATTAGGAATTGCCTCCTCCTACATTAGCGTGTACCTCACATTTCAGGCAGATTCCACCATTGCTGCTCCTGCAATGGCAGAGACTTGAAGGCTCCCGTTGGCCCTTCTCAGCAGTTCAGCTATGTGCAATGTGGCTCTGAAGCACAGGCTCACATGCTTCATAATCCTGCTGTTCATTGCAGGAGATTCTTATAGTGAAAAAGAACAGCCATTGTGGACATAGTAATTCCTTCCCCACTTAAGCTCTGACCCTGAGGTAAAAAAAAAGAAAGAAAAAAAAAAAAATCCACGGCTTGGGGAACATCACTGGAAGCCAGGATAAAGAGAGAGGAAGCTGGAAAACAGGCTAAGAGTCAAACAGCCATAAATGCCTGTCTCAATCCACATAGGCCGCCATGACAAAGTAGCTTAGACTGGGCAATTAATAAACAACAGCAATCTATTTCTCACTGCTGTAGCAGTTGGAAAGACTAAGGTCAAGGAGCCAGCAGATTCAGTGTCTGGTGGAGCCTCTCTGCTTCACAGATGGTTTCTTCTCACTGAATCCTAATATGGCAAAGGGGGTTTCAAAACAAAACAAAAACAAAAAAACTTGCCTGGACCTCATTAATAAGAGCAGTAGTCTCATTTCTGCCGTCATAACGTAGGCTCCACCCTTTAATACCAACTTGCTGGGGATCTTAAGATGAATTTGGGAGGGACACAACAGTCCTTAACAATGTCTGTCTATATAGTTCATTATTTTATTATAAAATTTACTTAGAAATTCTAGCCAACACATGACTCTGAGGCCCAGAGACCAGGTGACAGAGCTCCTAAAGCATTCAAGCCAGTGAGATAACAGATTCTACCATCTGCTCAGGGTGGGAGTGGACTGTGGAAACATGAGGGGCTTGCCTTTGCACAAGTGCTTAGTGAGCAAATATTTACTGACAATGTGCCAGACATGTTTTAGGTAACTGAAGACACAGACATTAGTCTTTTTTGTTATAGAGATCGTACGAGAAAATGAAGAAAAATAAATAGCTGCAAGAGTCTATCTGCCAAACTGGTGGCTTGTCATAGATGAAATTCAGATAATGTGAGCACAGCAGTTCCTTGTCTATTATGACTATCCAGAAGATTTTTGTTTCTTACAGTGTGTGTGTGTGTGTGTGTGTGTGTGTGTGTGTGTATGTGTGTGTGTGCTCACATGCATGTGAGTATGTATGTGTGTGCCTACACAAGAGTGCAGTGCCTCAGAGGTCCAGAAGGAGGTGTCAGATAGCCTAAAGGTGGAGTTACCAGCCCCCAAGCTGACATGTTTAATGGTGGCCATGTGAAGACTTCACCTAACAGAATTTTAGTGCTCTTCTCACTCTACAGGCTCCTCTCACTCCACAGCTAATGTGGCCCACTGCCCAGGCTGCACAGTTTAGCGTGTCCTGTTCATTTTCCTCCGCACTAACACTTGATTCCACTGGTCCTCAAGTTCAAGGCAATGCCCCCCCATGCAGGGCAGTCCCTGCAAATGCTTTGTGACCGGAGGGACACAATCTAACAAGTAACAATCTAAATGAAGCAAGAAGGAAATCCAATTCAACACAACTTGGTTGGCCAGTGTTGGTTCAACTTTCTAGAGTCTAACCCCAAGCAGTTTATATTTGACATACTTAAATATAGTACAACTTTGGAAGAAAGTTTCCTTGAGACATTTATCACAATAAAGTTTAAGGCATGACTATGTTGAAACTCCCTTGTAAAGTACCTGTGACCTCTCCCATAAAAATGGGTTCTATTGACTGGGAAACAATGCTCAGAAGTCTAGGTAGGGTCTAAAATAAGCACAGTAGTCCGGGGAATACTGAGGCCTGGCCCTACAGATAGGTTATTAAATACATCCATCCCCAGCTTTCTGGACAGAAACAGGTATACACCCTTCCATTGAAAAAAAAAAAAAAAAGCATTTTTTTAAAAGCAAGTTTAACAATTTTGGTTTTCCTGGTGCTATTTATGAACATGAGGACCTCATGCCCTCTATAGAACTATGGTCAAACAGTTAAAATGGGAGACTTAGGGATCTGGAAAAGAACAAAAATAAGGAAAAGACAAAGAAAATAGTAAATAAAAATTCACTTCATCAAAAATCAGGACTCAGAAGGGAGATAGACACAATTCAGCAGAAGTGATGAAAAGAAACAACTTGGAAGGAAGAGTGGTTCGATGGCAAGGGACATAATCTCAGCACTAGGGATGTGGAGGTGGGAAGATCAAGAGTTCAAAGTCATCATTAGCTACACAGCAAGTTCAAAGCCAGCCTGGACTACAATAGAGCACATCAAAACAAACAAGCAAACCAACTTGGAAGAAAGCAATCTATTTGAATGATCTCTCTCCAAACAAGCCACAACTTATATACTTATATAATGGGATACACAACCTTGGATTCTAAAAAACACTGACACCAAACAGAGCCTCCCTCAGTCACTCCAGCTCATGTCGCTGTCTGCCTCTTGTCATGTATGTCTTCTTGTGGACTTCCCAGCTCTGCCTACTACTCTTCCTGTTCCCATCTTTGACACAGTCACAAATGACAAGGTGTACTTGTAGTAGAGCAGATAGGTTTGTGTAAGAATTTATAGTTGTTCTTTTACTTTGTAAATATAGCTTATTTACTTTTGAAATGGTTGTGACTATAGTCTTAATTACATCTTCAACCACCAGATTTCTTTTGTAGGCAAATGGAAACATGACTGTGCCTCCATTAATGGAATCAGAAAGGGCTTTGGAGAAGCTTAAACACTTAAAGTAGAATATTGACATTAACAGAAAACCTAAAGAATATTAAAATTATATATCCCTAGGCAGCTCATTCCTCTTCCCTTTACTAAATAGCTTAAGATAGGATTTTCCCAATTCCACAAAGGATACAAAGCACTGCTTGTAAATACAGTTCAAGAGACTGAACTTCATAGCACAAAGGGCTCAGTCACCCAAAAACATTCTCCATCTCCTACTCCCTGTTTTCTCATCGAACAATAATGTCTGAGTATTTTACCTTACAGCTCACTCACTATCAGGTTTTCAATATTCTTGGGTCAACATTAAAAACCAAATGTAGGCATAAGCCCTCACCACTACCCTTTGCCCTATATTTCCCATATGCAGTTACTGATTCTACAGGATTGAACTTCGTGATTTCTGCCTATGAAACACATTATGTATGTACAAACCAATGTATTAACTCAGCAAATATTTACTGACCACCAGTTATCTGACAGTGGCTCCTTCATCAATAAATATCTATCAAGTGTATATCCACAAGCCAGGCACTTGTCTAAGTGTAGGTGCAGCAATTCTGCCCTACCCCACCTTTATTCTAGAGGAATTGTACCAGATTCTGGTGATACAAGGGTGGGCAGTCCAATAAAGAAGAGAGGCACACACCATCAACATGGTGTCAAAGGGACCTGTACATAGTCTTCAGGGATGCCCCGAGGGCAGAGTAGTTAACCAGAGTGAAAAACAGAGTATTTGGCTCAGGTCAAGTTTAGGATCATTCAAGAAATGTCAGTGGCTCACAGCAGAATGTCATCTATTAAGACATTGAAGACAGATCTCACTGTCTATAGTGGTTAATTTCAGCTGTCAACTTGACTTCTTGGGGCAATGTGTGGTGTATGAGTAAACCCAGTCCTGGGCATCGTGGAGAGAGTGATACAATGTGAGTTCTGATCTAACCCTTCATGGGTACATAACATGATAGCATTATTAGAAAGTGGTGAGAGGAGGGAGGTGGAACCGAAACCAAGTTGGAAGAGAGCAATAATAGATCATAGGGAAGGTGTCTTGAGGGCTGCAACTTGCTTGGTCTCTTCCTGGATCTCCTTTCCCTGTTTCCTGGCTGTCATGACGTGAACTGCTCTGCTTCACCAAGTGCTCCCCAATGTGACAGACCAACCCTCTAAGACCATGAGCAAACATAAATCTTTGGTTTTTTTGTTTTTAAGTTGTTTATAA